GCTGTCTTGCACTAAAGATTTGTCATTGGCTTTATCTATGAACCCCTAGGCTCTTCTCTTTCCTCTCAACACCGAACCATCTGTATAGATAATCAGATCACATGGGCATGAACTGTCGTGAATCAACTGCTGGACTTCCACCTCCAAGGCACCCGCTGGCCACTCTCTGCACACCTGGCCTAATGTGATCACAACCCTACACAGGTTAGACTTCTCCGCTGGTACTCTGACCCACTTCTCTCCTTGCCCAATGTTCTGAGGTTCCTGGTTCGCTGCTAACACTGAGCAGAGACTGCTTCTGCTTCTGTTCCAGAGACTTGTACTTTCTCCCATCGAATATGCTCTTGCCATCCTCACTGTCAGCCATACTCAGATTGAAAGATTTGAGAAGGTGCAAAATGAAGCAATGCGAATTATTCTAGTACCTTCTTGACTTCCCTACCATGAACTACAGGATCAAGATCTGGAGGGCTTGTGCATACCTCAAAATGAGCTTAGATTTGAAGCACATTTTGCACCACATGCTCTTCAAAAAAAAGGGCAATAGGCTTAAAAGAGTCAAATCCTGGCTGAGTAGGGCAGAGGATGACATCATGCAGGTTAGCAGCCTTACAGACATCCATCCAGGTGAGGAGTGAACACCAGCATCTAAAGCACCCAATCTCACATTCTCCTGTGTCGTGACGCTCGATAGGAACTGTTCGGAGCAGAATCCAGCGGCTGTCAATGCCGAGGTGTGCACGCTTATCAGTGACAAGTCAGATGAGACAGATGTGGTCATCTTCACAGACAGGTCTGTTATACGAGGACATAAGAGTGCATGGGCATTTACAGCTCGCTCTTATGGCAGAACAGTTCAGGAAGCCTGCAGTGTCTTCTCCATGACCACCAGCAGCATGACAATGGATGTGATCGTGGTGACACAGACTTTCATGTGGCTAGGATCACAGGACTATTCACGCATGTGTGCATGATCTGGGGGGTCAAGGCAGACTGGTTATGCAGACAGTGGCTTGAGTCGTTGCAAAATTCTCCTGTGAGTGCAGTTACTTTCATATTCGTCCCAGGGCATGCAGGTGTTGTTGGTAATGAGAGAGCTGATAGACTGGTAGGTGCTGCATTAATTGAAGATGGCTGGCCCATGGATCACGCAGACATTGTCATTGCCCTTAGAGAGATAGGACATTCAAAGGATTTTGGAAGCAATGTGTCCACATATGAATACGCGAATTGGGAGTAAAGATCGGCACAGCTAAGCATGAGAAGCACACCGGATGCACATGAAGTCTTGTTAACCAACATAGGACTGGTACTATTAACTGCACGACGCTGATGAATACACTGAGAGAGAAATCTGAGCGCCTATGGATGTGTCCGGAGTGCTGTGAAGATAAGCTAACTCCAGCATGCATACTTTTTGCCCTTTTCAGCCTCTGACCCTTACCTGCAGCCAAAGCTTCATACAAAGGGTGTTCCCTGTCTGCAGTTACTCTGAGGTATGACTTAGACTGCAGCACCTTTAGCCTATCTGCAACAGTCACCAATGCAAGGATGTATCACATGCATACAATCGGGGTGTCTCTTGTACATCCCAGGAACAGCCGCATAGCTCTTCGAGACAGTGAGTAACCCCAATCCATAATCAATCACTGAGATAATTAAGTGCTGGTAAAGTGTGAACAGTATTCTCTGCTCCACGTGCATCACTGCCATAATCTTTAGGGCATTTAGACCTTTTTGAGCAATTGTCATAACCCCCTCTTGCAGGTTCAAATTTTCACAAAAATTACTGAACATTGTTGCACCCATTCCACAAACTAATGCAGAATAAACAGACTGGCTGTTGATGGCAAAAGGTCCATCCTAGGTACCTTTCACAAACCACACAAAAAAAGACTAGAATTTTCACATGTTGGACAACATAAAGTTTTTTGTTGATTTCACCAATTTCAGAAAAATCTACCATTCTTCAGCGTTCTAGTTTTTTTTTTTTTTTTTTTTAAATCTACTGTCATCAACAGAAACACACTTGCTGCTTAAGGAGGTCATATATTTATAAGAATCTCTTTTAAACTGGCTTCAGACTTTTTCTGCAAGAAAAAGTCACTTCCACAACTTTGAGAAGAACATGATGGTACAGAATCGGTCACTGTCAAAATACCAGTGAGGCTAGGGAGAGGCAAGTTCTGTTAAGCTGAGTAACATGTATTTTCTGCAATGTTTAAAGTACTCTGGTAGATTTAGATCTGCTTGCGAGCATTTGCCAGTTGTAGACTTAAGATTTCTTACACTGACCAGCTAAATGGAGGGTAAATTTCTTGAAAGGCAGCATTTTTCTATTTGCAACATCCTGTGTTCTCAATGTAAACAAGTGATCAAAACAACCATCTTAGAGAATCAGATACCCAGGTGATCAGTGTCAGTTAACAGGAACTGAGCATACTAATGAGTAAGGTCATGTTTACACCCAGACAGGGACGTTTCCGGCAGGTTGTATGTCTGAATAAAAGAGTTGTGAATCAGAAAGTTGACACTCCACAATTCAAAAACTTCCCCATAAATGCAGAGGAGACAATAACGATTACAACAGTTATCTACTTGTGCAAGTACCGTTGCCTGGTTTAAAAAAAAAAAGTCAAAATTGTAATAATTTTCGATAAATAAAACGCAAGGTTAGTTCACTAAAATGTGAATACTGCATTAGAACAAAAAAGCACAGAATCTGACTGACGGCATACTAAGATGTGTTCTAAGATGTGTAAAAATGAACTTTCCAAACTTTTTTTTTTAGACGCCTTAACATCTTGATTAACTGCATTTGCCAGTTGTTTTTGGGTTCTCTTCCAAAGCTCAATAATAGTGATTTTATCAAAATATTCAGTCATTTTTCAAGATTCCAGCTCCAAATAAAAGTGCTATTTTGACCTCAGAGCTACATATTCAAACCTTGCTACTTGTTTTAATTTCACTTAACTTCACAGATCTTCTGCTTCTTCTTTTTTCATAATCTGCAGTGTGGCCTCTAGAATGAACTTCACTGTCATTTGTAATTCACTCAGTGACCCTAACGTTTGGTCTGCACTGGTGTTTCTCTTGGCTAAAAGTTTTGCCTTGATATGTTGTATTTGTGACAGTCTTGGAGGACGTGATCTGTTGTCTCAGGTGCCAATATGGCGGATTCACCAATTTTAAATTTTATGTTCATGTGGCTGCAAAGTCGATTGTGTCCTGTCTGTTCGTCAATCAGTTGTTTTTTCTCAATGGTATCGCCTAATCTTTTCACAATAATCCTGCTTAATATGTTCCCAAGAACCGACATATTTCCTTTATAATTTTCACATTCCTGCTGGACAAATTTTTTTTTTTAACCAGATATCCTTTATCTTGAATAATCTGCTGGGATTTCTCCAGATTCCCATACTTTGCTGAATATTTTGTGTAGCAATTCTGTAGGTGTGTTTAACTGCAGTTGCTGACATAATTAAATCAAGTTTTTCTATTAATTAATAAATAACCTCAGCCATCAACAGACAACTTTGTGAAATTACAGACAGGAAATACTGCCTGTCACCATAAGTTTTGTTCTAAGTCAGTTGATTGCAATCAGACAAAACCATACAAAGGTAGATGGTTCATTTTAAAGTGCTGCATAAAAAGCAGAAACAGTGAACCCTTACAAGGTGAAAAGATTCACAGAATCTGTCATGAAAGACAATAGCAGAAGTAAATTGTTTCAATGGCAGATGACCTAAAAACATTGATGAAAGCTATTTGATTAAGATTTGAGGATTAATCAACTGCCAATGATGAAACATGTGATGTTACTGGATGCAGATTTTCATGTTTATGAAGAGCTACATGAACTTGTACCAAAAAACAATAACAACAAACCAGGATGTTTTTGAACGGGCATAGAAGTACTGGTTGAATAGGATTCAAACTTAGATAAGCTTTCTCTGTTTAGCCACCACTGGTGCTGCTCTCACAGCTGGCAAATGTAATGGCTGGGGCATATAATTACTGAATAAAGTAAATGAAATGTGCATAAACTCACCATTTGCCCTTTTAATTACATCACTCACTAACAAAACCTAAGACCAGAAAAATGTAAAGGTAGATAATATCATTAAAGATGGTGATGGAGGGTTGCAGTTTGTGGAAAGCCAGGCAGGGGTCAACCTCCGTGAAAACAGTTACAGGATACTGAAGATGCATAAACACATGGGGCTGCAGAGGTGACTATGGAAAGGGATACTTTTCAGCGTGCCGTTAGGAGAGCGACATTTTTAAAGGAATTGCCGATTGATGACAAATGTCATTAGGCTTGACAGTAAGGATGCACAGTCAGGTAATGACAAATCAGCAGTCTACACATTTGTTGGATGATATGGATAGTGAATTTGGTGGTAAACTTTTCTACACTGAAATATACATGTTATCATTAACAAAAGCGTTACAAAGATTCTACTTTCAAAGGGATGAAATCTGCAACTTTTTAGAGATGAAGGGGCAGAACACAAAAAACTTAACAAAATATTAAATGGAGCCACAGCCTAGCTTTTGTAGTAAGTATAACCAGACAAATGCCCAATATGAATTTAAGTTACATTGTTAAACAGATGAATAATGACAATAAATTTCCAAAGTCTTTTTTGACTTTGGAAATTTATTGTCATTATTTATGAAAATCACAAACCTCACATGACAATTTTCACCCACTACCCGCAAAGAGTGAAAAAAACATGGTTTTACAGCATGAACATGTTCTTCGAGCCAAATGAAAAGTGAATTATGTCCATGACTTTGGTGTTTTTTAAAGAAAGTGAAGTGACACATGAAAATTATATTGAATTTGAGTGACTTGTTTTCAAACTACAGTATATGTTTTTCAAAAGTATAAACTTTTGTTTGTGCAAAAGAGTGTGCACGCGCTAAAACATACGCACACATATGCATCCACAATTTCAGGATGATTGTTTCAAGTAACATAAATTACATACATGTAGTAACGTCCACGTGGCCTTCAAACACTGCAAAAGGTATGTAGGGACGATGGACATCCCATACATTGACACAATGATCAACCATCAACGAACAGCTAGAGAGGTGGTGCTTGCGCTGAGGACGCCATTTTACTCTAGCTACTGGTGCAATATTTGTAATGCTGTACAGACAAGGTGGTAGAGTTGCTCTATCGTTACCACGCATCATATCCCAAACCTTTCAGAAGAAAAAATTTATTATATGAGAAAACTGGCACATAAACAGTAACAGTTTTTCGTAACAAGGTACTTTGTTTTTAAATAGCAATAAGCTGTCAACCCTTTGCCCAAACCTGAGGACCAGGACTCTAGTTTGGTCTGGTCCTTCTTTTTTAAACCTGCCAGAGGAACAAGTCTGCTTGCTGGCATAGCTCTGAAAATCAGAACATATAAACCATCCTGCCATGAGCACCATGTGATGGCTATTCAGAACAGAAGGAATTAAATGGTATGACAGAATTATGCTGAGCTCTAGGAGAAAACTAAACTAATTCCAGTGAATTAAAAGGTGAAGATAAGACCTGACACTAGATGAGCTGCAATTAAAAAACCAGGTAATAATATAACTAGCGAGCCTGGGCACTAAAAGCTTCAGGGGGAAAAAAAGGGAGACAACACACACAAAACAAATGGAAAAGAGCAGAGCAGGTGAAATGATGGCATGAAGTCCAAGATGACAAGGAATTGATGACAGTGCAAAATGGTAGAGTTAACCTTTTGAAGATAGAACCTTTTTGGAGCTTTAGTGCCAAGAAGACAGAGCCCTGCAGAGGGGATCTGTTTAATTTACACACACAAAACTATATTTAAAAAAAAATATTAAGTATCTCATCAACATATTGGTTGGTTAGTTGCATATCCTTTACAGGACGTTGCAGAACCAACTCCAACAGCTGGCTGTTGTGGTTTTTCTAGGCAAATTTACATCCAGTAGTTTGCCATTGCTTTCTGGATGGTCGGCTTTCTTGATACCACTGTCGAAACCAACGCAAGGTGCATGGCCCGCAACTGGGATCGAACCCGGCATTACAAAGCCTTCGCATCGACTTAGCCACAGAGCCGACCATCAACAAATATACAACTATATATATTCTTGTAGGAAATTAAATGAGCTTCCACAATCTAGGTGAATCAAACTGAAATCTCAATACTTATTCACATGAGCTATTCTGATTTACATCATTTTTGCATGCATTTTTTTTTCTTCAAAGGACAAACATGAAATTCACCCATCAATTTCCTGTGTCTGACGACCACAGCCTACTACAAACCCACAGATTCTGAGTTATTTCCTCTATACATAGTCTCACCCACTACCGTGTAAAAATTGTATTCCGTATTCACAGCTCCTTCAACTGTGCAGGTTGTGCTCTGATGATTCTGACTTCTTTGATAAATCAGCTGAACTTCTTGATTTCTTCTGTGCCCGTTTCTATCTGGAACACATTCTACAAGAGGCTCTGAACAAAGTTTTACCAACCACAAGGAGAGATGCTTTTTCCCATCAAATATAATTCCACAGCGAAGGACCCAAATTGATTTTGACTTTTCACTCTAACAATGTGGTAGCTTCCAAAGTATTCTTTCATGATTTGGACATCCTCCGCTCTGCTTTGGACACCAAGATTATCTTTAGTGAGAAGCCAAGATTAGTTTATAGACCAGACCGCAACCTTAAAGACATACTTGTCAGAAGCCGACTCCCACCGATCCACACTGCTCTTCCTTTTGGGAATACTGAATGCTCCCACAGTAAATGCAAGACATGTCCTTTCGTTGTCCAGACTTCTTCGGTCAGTTTCTAATGTTTCTTTCCAAATTGGGGAACCTTTTACTTGCGAATCCCACAATGTAATTTATGCAATAATCTGCAAACGATGCAGCAAGGCATTTATTGGGGAAACTGGCAGGAAGCTAGCTGATTGTTTCCGGGAACAGCTCTCTGATATTGACAAGAAAACACTTAAACCAATCCCTCTCCATTTTAACAGCTCTGACCACAGAGGTAAAGATGATCTGTCACAGTATTAAAATCTTGCTCTGTGATCATACTACGCGCCTTGCTTTGAAAAATCACCACATCCACAGCCTCAGCATTCTTAGTCCAAGTGGTATCAATATCCACCATAGCTTCATCTAAACAGTTTTACACTTATCACATTTTAAATGTTAATTATTTTCTTTAATTTCATATTATTACTTTATTCTATCTCTTATCAGTTTCATTTATGTATTATTAACATTTGTATTTCTTTTATTCCCAATATATTATATAACAACAATATTACTTTTTATCTTTTTGCGACTATATTTCTTTAGCCATCGTTTATTTTATTTTATTTCATTCATTCCACGTCACAATTTTTTAAATGTTGCTCACATCACCCCTTTGAGACTCTTCTCTCCTTGTTGTTACCTTTGTGTAGTTCACTGTTTGACAAAGGCTGCCCGGCCGAAACGTTACATTATTTGTGTTGTTTTGTGCATGTTTTTCTGCTTCCCCATTTGGTTACGCCTTTTAGTCAAATTTCACTGGAATTCCTTGTATTAGCTTTACCGCAGTCGCCCCTATATTTTCACCATTTTTTTTCCGATGAATTCTGTATAGTTTTTGTCAATAATAATGTGCTTTCCATAAATGTGGTAGAGTTTGTAGAGAATGATTTGATTTACAATTTTCCTACTAACTTTTAAATAGAAATTTAATAACATGTGAAAAGCTCCTTCATTATCCATAAAAGTAGTAAAGTAAAGGACGCTTTTCCATGCCTTTCCATAGGGCATATAGGGCTAGACCTATTTTTTATAGACCAATCGGCACAAGATGGGTGATGTGGTCAGCATCATGCCAGCCGCCTTTCCTTCCTGGGACTGCACCCGGTACCCACTCAAGGCTGGGTCGACCTGGGAGCCAAGGTCATTTTTAAAAATAGTCCGGCTCCACCAGGAAGCGAACCCACAACCTTCCGATCTGCAGCGAGGGTATAGCCGCTCAGCCATGGCGACTCCCTTCATTATCAATATTGATCACAAATTACAAACACCTTTTTCAGTGGTGCGCTCTTAATGTTTTTGGAAGCTTTTTTTTAAATATACATATATAAATCTTCCAATGCAATTATTTTTAAAAACTGAATACAAAAAAAAAAGAAGCAAAATAAAATTATAAATAAATTCCACCAGATTGTGATTACTAAATCACTGAAAACTGGAGGAGCTTGCTGGCTTGTTTTGGCTGAGATGGGAGGAAAGGAAGAATAAACAAATAAGAAACAATAATAGTTAGTGCAAAAACATCTGATATAAGTTCAATATGTGTAAGATATTAAATGAACATAAATAATACTTAAACGGAATAAATACTGGTTAGCAGACTTCCTAGTCCACTATATACAGAGATGAAGTAAGTTCAAAGAAATTAAATATTTAAGAAGTATACTCTTGGAAATTGGCACAAAATATGGGAAAAATGAATCAAGATGCCAGACAGTGAGTGCCCTTACACACCAGTTGAAATCATCATTAACCTGTTCAAACATAAGTATTATCGGTAAGATACAGATTTTAAACAGCATATTCATACCAATACTGTGCTAGTAATGCTAAACTTTGACATTTTTAAAAGCTCACCTATGTTAAATCTGAAGAAAGTCGCCAACTAACCATCCAAGATCAAGTGAGTAATGACACTATCAGATAGAATGTGAGAACAAAACTTTGCATCAAATTCACTAACAAGCAGAAGATCAAATGGTTTGGTCATCTCGTTAAGAGGCAGCAAAAATTAGCAACACATGTGACAAACATTTAAAAATGTTTATGCGACTTCAAGGGGGCACCCAAGGAGAATATGGACATCAATGACATTATACACTTATATGGTATGACATTAGTCAGTGCTACCCACTGAATGTTGGACCAGAAATCTCTCCTCTATGATGCTTAGTGGCAAAAGTAGAAGTTGTCAATGATGATGATACAATATTTCTTGATGACTTTTTTTTTTTTTTAATTTCCCAAAAACAAAACCCACCAATTATGACCACAAAGGATTTCTTTTCTATCTTCCAAGTCTTGAATGAATTAAATTACTAAGTTAAAACAGTTGCTATAGGCAGACATAAAACAGAAATCTGATTTTAAGACTTAACTTTTACTTGTTGTTATTTTTCTTTATAGTATTCATTCAATCAAAACCATGCATTTTAGTTAAATAAAAGTAACCTTGATCATCTTGTCCCTGCCTGCTGTCGCCAACCACCAGGTTCTATCCAATGGATGCCAGTCAAGAGAAAAAACAGGTCCATTATGTGCCATGAACTGTCTTTCACATCTGTCAGGACGACGCATGTCCCACACCTACAAAATTAAAAAAATTATGCAAATGATTATTCTAGAAACAAATTACAGATTCAGCACATTAACCACCAGTTGATAAGCCCTGTAACAGGTCATCATCATCACCTAGCAAATCTTATGTGTAACACTGCACTTATCACTGACAAGTGAAAATACTTCCGACCTTTGCCAGTTCACCTGCTTCATGCCTAGGATGTCTTTAATATCCTATTCCAACCATCATTTTTACTTGGCTTTGCCAGTTGTTCATTTTCTTCGATCTGAGCTTTTTATGAGCGTTTCTTTGATATTCAGGTTTTGTAGAATATTTCTATTTCGCTTTAATTTGATCTAATGTATTCTAAGAATATTTCTGTAGTACGGAGCTTCAAAAGCCTTTTTTTTAAACCGTTACAAAGATGTATTATCTCAGACTGTTTAATATTTGTTAGCTGGTGTTGTGTGACGGCTTCTTCATGTCGATATCTTCTACGGGTCTCTTTTTGAAGTCTCCACTGATGTTAAAAAGGGGGCTATCCTAGAGACTTGATTTTCCAGCTTTGTGTGACACTCTTGACAGGTGATCAGTTATTCTATGGAGAAAGATTAAAATCAGTACAATGAAGTTTTTTTTTTACCTTTAACTCTTTGAGTCCCAGAGGGTTTAGCATCACAGGCCCAATGGGTAGTCAAAAAAAGACTAAAATGGCACATCATGCGTTGATTGGGCTTCTAGGCTGTAACCTATGAACGTATGATGCGTTCCTTGGGATTCAAAGAGTTAAAGACCACTGAATGTAAACAGGTGTGAATTTTGCTAAAGTTCTTCTGAATGCCAATGCATCAACTTTAATGTTGTACTTCCCTTGCTGTGTGCTCATATTATTTCTTTTACCATAGCTCTCTGTTCATTGTTCATTTAAAGATCATCTTCATCACACACTGGACATGACCATAAGTGCTCTGATCTCCTCCTGAGTTTGTCTCCAAGTGTTTTTAGGCTAACAACTTCCATTCTATTCTGGTTGATGTTATGACGGGTGGTTCCCGCATAGTTTTCCTGTCTCACTGCTCCAACTGGTACACCCAGGGTATGTAGTATATTCAGCGAAAAATCATTTTCTATTAAACTGAAAGCCTCACAGCGTTTTGTCTCTCAGATAGTATTAATGATGTCTCTCCTGTCCACAGTTAGCCCCTTCCTGATAGTTTCATTCCAGCCAGGGCGTCTTCTCTCTCACTGCTTTCCATTCCAGCATGCCCTGGGACAAAAATGAAGGTGATTTTGCAAAACGTTGCATGCTGTATCAGATGGAGCCAACAATGTTTCAACAAAAGATTAATGACAATTCCCAACCAAGTGATGTGATTATCTTTACAGATGGCTCTGTGTTGAGGGGCAGACAAAGTGCATGGGGTTTCATAGCAAAGGCAAATGGACATCGCCTAGTGCAGCAAAGCCTTGTATATGATATCACAACGTCTAGTTTGAGAATGGAGGTGGAGGCAGTCTCAGCTGCCTTCTGCTGGCTTGAGAATCAGCAGTACACATGCCGTGATTGTAACTTCTTCTTCTTCTTCTTTGCGTTCACCAGCTGTACACTCCGGTGGAAAGTTCTGGTTGTTCGTCCACTTCTGGACTGCAGTCCTGTTCCAAAACCTGAGTTTTGCGTGTGCATTCATTTGACAGATCTGACTCATTTGTGTGCAGACTACTGGTTCCTTGCCTCTCAGGCAAATGCACTCCGACTTCGAAGGAAGCTCCCAATTAGTCGACTCTTACGACATGCTTTTGGGTAGTCAGTGGGTCTATTCTTGTTTTCCCTATAATAGGGCCCCGGAACCCACACGGGGAGATTGTAACTGACTCACAGAGCATTTGAGAAAGGTGAAAAAAGGCATTCTTCGTGAATAGTGGCAAGCATCACTTCAGAGGTCCCAGGTAGTTAGCATCCTTTGGATATTTTGTCCACGTCATGCCGGTATGTTGGGAAATGAGCAGCAGTTAGACTGGCCGGTTTTGCAAAACTTGGTGGTGAACTAATGTATGACAAGTTAGATATTGTGAGGGCCTTTTGGGAACGGTTGAACAGTGTGGAGGTGCAGATGGATCATTACGGTCTGAGGAAAATGGCGCTGCAAAGAGTTTCCAGGGAATCTGGCCGACAATCAACACTCATGGGAACGATGAGACAGATATACAATCAGACGGCTACTGGTATCATCAGAATTGGAACTCTTCGCTTGCTGCTGATGATGAGGACTGAGCACTTATGAGAGTGTCCCGAGTGCTGTGATGTGGATTCTTAATTCAACATTCAATATGGAGCCACTGTTTCCATACATGTGGTATTTAGCATAAAGGTGGCTAATTTTTAGTGATTGTTTTACTGTTTATTCTTTGTTTCTGTCTTTTTTATTCTTATTTTCTCTATTACTGGAATGCTGAGGTAGATACCATGATAATCTACATAGACGGCTCTAAAACCAGTACGAGTGCAGTCGGAGCAGGGGTTTACATACCGGCATGGAAAACAACACATGAGTACAAGCTCTCAGACTATATAGCAGCCTGCTTGGCAGAGCTGGTACGGATAATGAAAGCACTGGAGCTAGCCTGCGAAAGTCAGCCCCCCCCCCCCCCCCCCCCCCCCCCCCCCCATAAAACTCCTCATCCTTACCGACTCACTGTCAGCTGTCCAATCACTGAGAGACTGCTCGAAAGTGAGCCGACAAGACTTACAAGAAGAAAATCTGACTATCTCAACCAGACTCAGAAGTCTTTGATGCCAGATAACCATTGGCTGGATCCTGGCACACATAGGTACAGAAGGTAACGAAGCAGCAGATAGAGCAGCAAAAAGAGGCACCAGCAGCCCTAGCATAGTATTCACGGGACTGGGCAAAACCGAAAAAAAGCAGTAAGTAGAGGCAAAATATGCAGAGAATGGTCCCAGCAGTGGTCAACCAGCGATAAAGGCAAAGCCGCCTACAAACTACTTGAAAAACCCACTCTCAAGAGTCAAGTGCAAGCGCTGACAAAAATACCTGTCATTCGAAACTGTGGAAGATGCGACTAGGGTGCTGGCCAGACCAATTTCACACGCCTGCGTGCGAGGAATGCAGGGTCAACAACTCTATGGAACACTTCCTGCTGAACTGTAAAACCTTCGAACTAGAAAGACAAGAGCTCACTTTCATGTTTTTTGTCCGTCATCATTATTAATTGTACTTGCACTAAAATCATACAGTTCCATAAAGATGATCTACATGGCTCATATATTCTGACAAGTGTGCATTCAGTAGATGCCAATGCTAACTGAACAATCAATGTTTACAACCTTTAGTCCCTGGTAGGCTGCGGATCTTAATACCAGGTTGAACATGTTTCCTGTCATCAAAATTATCAGATTGTTATTTTTGTCTAAACCACTAGCAGCTGGGTGCATTACTGAAGAAAAATCTCTAAGTTGTCATGTTACTTAAATGAAAGCATACGTATTAAGCATGTAAAGCAAAGCAACAACAAATAAAACACATACAGATACATTCTTAATCCTACCAGACCTGAGGCCCTGAACCTATCTGTCCCTATAACCTGAGCTCCTGGGCATTACCGCAAAAAAAAAAAACATTATATACAAAAATATTAGTTACATGCAAACGAGTGGCTAGAATATGATGAAACTTAGAGACATTGTAGAAAAAAGGCTTACCTTTTATCTAGCGCCAATATTCCACCTTTGTGAGCGAATTCACTCATCAGGATCAACTTTGTTTCACAAAGTGAACACTAGATGTTGCCGTTTGATGGACACACCCCCTCCTCCTATTATCGATCTATTTCAAGATTGATGATTTTCAAGATTTTCCTCATCATTCGCGCTCTCACTGACAGTGTCACTTCATTAACGTATTCTTTATGAAATTATCACAGATAATGAATATATATTTATATATATATCACAAAGTCTGAATAAACCAAAGTAACGATCACCTGTTGGACTGTGAAAAGCCTAGAACTTGGTTCATCAGCCGCTTGTTTCATTGTGAATTTTCAGAATTTTTCCACGTAAAACAACACAAATATAATCCAAACACATGCGGGCAGACATTTGGAATGTCTAATAAAGAGGATTCATAATGACTGGGTGGTTATTTTTAGTCCGTGACGCATCGTTTTCCCGTACTATGCAAAAAGACGAAAATTAGGGCCAGCGGTATAGAGACAGGTTGAGAAATTCCCTGGTAGGGTTAAGATGCTTTCACAATATTCGTGTATGAAGTGCAAAGTTTGTGAATTATACACCCTTCTGTGTAGGCTTTGACCTTTCAAATGGAAGCAAAATCTCATTAAACTGTCTGACTATATATACCCCTTTATAATTATAGCATAAAAAGAAGACCAAATGCTAGCAAAGTATTCACATTACAATATCATTTCTCATAGAGAATTGATTTACCTGAACTCCTCCGCTCTCGTATGCTGCAGCAAATGTGAAGTAGCCCATATTTGGGGGACAGAACTGAGCATCTCTCACACTATCCGTTCCAGAAGCTCCAAATTTGGTGCACGCTTCAGGTTTACGGACATCCTGCAAATATTAGGTATCCTTAGTGAGCTTTGTAAACATTGAAAAGCAAAACCCATCTTTGACCTTCAAGACAATTCTAAAATATCAAAGTCTGAACATCTACCACACACAAAAATACCAGATTTTGTTGTTTGTATTATGTATTTTCTGTCCGGTGTGATGCATACAGAAAAGGATGTAACATGCAGCTACTTTTGAGAGGTAGTGTCTATGTGTGTTTTAGTCAAAAGTTTTCCTGTGATTGCTTTATCTTATTTATTTCCTTAGTATGCATCTGCTAAGACACAACAAAATATGTCAAGCAATAAAGTGTGTAATATGTTTGTATCCTCTATTCAAATTCTTTTACTTTCATTATTAAATTATTATGCCATAAGTTATGGTCAAGCCAATAGAGCCTTGTTCAGTGTTTGTTCTTAGCCATTTTCAATACTCCTCCTAGCATAAACACTGATTTTCAAATGTCTTTCTGCTGATGTGTTTTTGTTTACTGAATGCCAGTATAAAGTATTGTGTAAACTGACGATATCTCACTGCTTTATTATTTAATTCATTACTATTTCAACAAACTAATTACTATGAGCATACTAATAGAATGGGAGTGGTGAACAATATGATTACTGGGAATTTGTGGCTTAAAAACAACGTAGACACATTTGAACATAGACAAGTATTAAACAAAATGCACAGAGGCCAACTGATTGCATACTGAACAAGAAGAGGTATAATAAATTTACTGCTGTGGGTTATCATTAGAATCAGTGTCAGACTGAGTGTACAGTCAATCTCAAGACTTTTAGCTTAAAATCTGAGTTAGGCCTATACTTGCTGTATATGATCAGGAAAATATGGTTACAACTAAAATGGCAAAGACCTGCGGTATAGTCAACCCTCAAACATAAAGCTGGCCTAAAACACAGACCTACCGGTAAAGCTTGCTGGTGTGAAATATGTTTGGATCTCAATGAACAGAAAATGTAAAGAAACATGTGAACTGAAGCAGTACTGTAACTGCCACGATTTCCGAAGGATTAATGTCTGTGCTTCAGGCTCTCGATTTCAGCCTAATGAAACCTTTTAAAGACAATTTTACAATGGGACTTTAAATTAAAACTAAAAATGTGACAGAAATTACAACAGCCATGCAATTGTCTTGTAATCTGTCAATACTGTTGTTAACGATGTCAAGAGTGTTAAGTTCATGACATCATTGTGCAGATGAGCATAGGGATGTCATAATGAGTTTAAAAATGGCTTCCCGCTTCTAACATGCATCACAGAGGAGCAGCGCTCTGTTAACATTTATTTTTAAAAGAGGAGGGGTAAAATTTACATGAATTCATTGGTAAATGAAGGTCTAGTAAAGTGTATGATTGATGTAGGAAGTATCAAAGCTGCGTGACTTCTGTGACAGACTGGCACACCAAGAAGTGATCCAAGCTGATTGCAGCAAGTGAATGCTTTGTACAGAAAACCCACAGACTTACTGTGAGTGACACTGCTGCACATCTTGACATCAGTCATGGTTGAGCATACCACATCATCCATGATGTGCTACAGTTCTGTAAAGTGACTGAAAGGTGGGTGTCATGGTAGCTTACTTTAAAATTGAGAAGATGATGCACTGATGCTTATCAAGAACTTTTGTGGTGCTCTGAAGCAGAATGTAATGGTTTCCTATCAAGAATTGTTATGGAAGAAACCTGAGTTCACTACCACAAACCAGAAACAAAGAGAGCAAGCACAGAATGGTTCCATTCCTCCTCACAGAAAACACGCAGCCATCTGCAGGAAAGGTTATGCTGACTTATTTCTGGGATGAATGAGGTGTTACGTTAGAGCACTATATGCCAAGAGGGAAAACTGTCACCAGTGATACCTATACAGATCTTCTCAGCAATCATCTTCAACCTGCTATTAAATCCTAAGCTACGTGGACTTATGAGTAAACGTGTCCTTTTGCAACATGACAATGCTCGACCCTACAAATGCTTATGTAATGTATAAAATTACAGAAGACCTCCATGCTCGCCAGACATAACCTCAAGTGATTTCAACCCTTTTGGATGACTCAGAGAGCACTGGGTGGATATACTTTTCAGCCCCATGAAGAGGTACAGCAGGTGGTGCATGAGTGGATATCATGCGATCAAAAGATATTTTTTTTTTCTACAGGAATCCAAGCACTTTATCAGTGCTGGAGGACATGCACTGAATGCAGTGGTGACTACATTGAAAAATTATACATTTCTACATCAAAAGGTGACACATTTCTACATAGGAAAATCACACATTTGTTCTCTACTTTTTCAGAATATATATTTCTCTCTTTCTCTCTCTCTCTCTCTCTCTCTCACCCACATACACGCCCCCACATGCATACGCACACACACAAATGTAGGTTTTCATTTGAAGCCCACTTGTATTCTGAAGTGGAATAAACGCATATTGGTTGCAGAAAAGTTGTTCACAGAAAGATAGTAATATGCAGGCCTCACAACTGGATGTGTTATTCAATTTTGTGCTAAAAACCTGACAAAGTATAGTTTCCTAGAAACTGAGATAAAATCTTTCTAATAATTTTGCATTTCAAATTCAATGAATGGGAAAGAAGATGATTTGTTGTGGCAAGAAAGTGAGGAGGACAGCAAAGTATCCTCAGAAAAAATTGGAACTTCCAGTGATTCAGATCAATAAGCAGGCTTCTCTATATCAGGTGATATGCAGTACAGACACATCTGAACTGTCTGTGGTAAAAGATTTGCAATTTATACCCACCAATTAAGTCAAATTTTCATTTTGGGAAGGTTTTTTTTAAGCTTAACTTATATGCTGCAATTTATGATAATTACAACAGCAGAGAATTTGTACAAATTTGAACTGGTCACAATTATGACATGTGTGTACAGAAGGAAACCGGAATATGTTGTGACCACTGGAAAGGGAACGGAAAAAAAGACAGAGGAAGACAATGTGAGGTGATTCTTGCCATGGCATGGAATGAGGTAAATACATAAACTGATGCAAACCGTTGAAGAAAGCAGACTGTGGAGAGGTATGATTCCTCAAGACCACTGAATTCCATTCCTGGTTTTAGTGGTTGCTGTTTTCACAATCCAATCTACTGCCAATAGAAATAGGAGAGGTGGCAAAAGAAATTCCTGTCACACATCTGTTCTTATTTCAAATGTACCTGTTAGCTTTTCCTCATTAATAACTCAAAATTTCATGTCTTCAAACAGTATGTTGCTTTTACTAAGTTAATAATTTCCTTTGGAATCCTATAGTGTCCCATCAATTTCCAGAGATATTTCATACCAATGCGATAAAAAGCTTTCTTATAGTCTATGAATTCAATGTAAAAGGGTGAATTCAATTCAATGCTTTGCTCTTATTATTGTGTAGTGTGGCTATCTGTGGCCAAAAACCTGCTTGTTCATCTCCTAGCTTTATATCAATACCAACTTTTAGTCATTCCAAAATAATCCTACTGAATATATTTCTAGGAACTGACGACAACATAATTCCTCTACAGTTTTCCCATTCCTGCAGATCATCTTTTGGGGGGCATTTTCACAAGATTTCCTTTTCACAGTCTGCTGGCATTTCTCCCAGACTTCACTGATTAATCTGTATAGCAATTCCATGGATGTGTTTACAGTGGCCTTAATTTTTTCTGCTGGGATACCACCTGGGCTTGCAGCTTTTCTTTCCTTCAGAAGAATGATAGCTTTCCTAATTCCCTCTTTAGGTGGTATCTCGCAGTTGATATCTAGTTCCATTTCTAAAGGCTGGTTATCTGAAGGGACCTTTGGGGCGCACACACATGAGCATGGACACACACACACACACAGCCATCCACCCATTTACACAGGACTGGGTAGCAAAGGGGAGTATGTACATGTAGAAGGGATTTCATTCAATGGTAGCAGTGTTGAGTGTTACGTTACTAACTGATATCACAGCACACAGTTCCAGTCCCTATGGTGCAAGTAGTAGTTTCAATATTAGCACAGCTGAATCAATGAATAAACTGTAGTTTCCAGGAAAATTCAAATCTAATTTTCTTTAAGGCATAAAAATAGTTTATGCAATTTATCTTTGTCAAATGAGGTAAGAAAAAAAAGAAAACTTAAGAACCAATTCTGAGTATAAAAGAGAATTATGGATATTCAATAGGTTAGTCAAACAATTATGTAGAAACTGTGAAGATGTGGTTTTATAGAATAATAATGGTACACAATAGACAAAACAACTGATATGACACTTAATTCCACACATTCATTTTCTAAAACTTTCTAAACCAAATCAGTTTCAGCATCTGAAACAGTTTAATGTTGGTGTAAACTTTCATGCTGACAGAAACCTCTTTTGCATTACATATCTAGCATGTTGCACTCCTCCCCAGCAAACTACTTATCACTAAGCCCTTCTGTTCAGTTGGACTTTTCAAATAATTATTATTTGATTCAGATTACTAAAACTGATATAATAAATTACAAAGTGGTCAATATCCAACTACTGTAAATTAACAAAGATATCTAATGGACCAAGAGCATTTTTGGATCAGATAATGAGGAAGAGGTTGTAACAACTAGGAAGATCAAGAGTGTTGGAGAAAACATTGACAGAGGGAGAATAATGCAAGACTGGTTAGTAAAGTAGCCTGAAAGATAGTAAAAGTAAAGATCCCTTTTCACGCCTTGAGGCGTATCGGGAACATGGGAAGAGCGCCCATATTTTTTTTAGAGACCATCGGCACCAGGTGAGTAATGTGGTCAGTATTTGTCTTTACTTCCCCAGGACAGCCATCACGATACCCATTTTTAGGCTCAGTCGTATTGCGAGCCCCATACCAATATTAAAAATCCACTCAGCCAGCGTGGGTTTCGTTCGCGGTGCGTTGGAATTACGAGTCGGACTCGCAACGCCTAAGCCACGGACGCCATCTGAAAGATAGTAAGTGGTAAAACTTACTAACAACACAAAAGACATGGCTAGTGTTACTCACAGTACCACATAATAATGACAATAATGAATATCAAAATACACTATACACATACATGAATCATGACTACACCGTCTTGAGATGCACTGAGAAGCTGATTATGTTCCGCAACATGAAAAGCAACTCTGTTTACAGATCGTTTGTGCTCTGTGTAAACAGTGACTGCAGAATTAAAAGTGAAATAAAATATACTAGAAACATTTCGAAAAGATCAACGATAAATACTAAATATAGAAGTAATAATGCAACAACAAAGATTAAATCAATTTATGAGTGTAGTAATATAATTCTACATTTTTTTTTTAAAGAAAAATAATACAGAATGATTTCATAAGCAATTCACAGAAAACAGAAAAATAAAGTATTAGCTATTAGTGTTAACAACAGACAAGAAAATTCTAAAAGCTCTAGGCACTTCTTACTGATGTGTAGTTTTGGTAATGTCTGACCAGTTTTATCCTTCTCATGATGAGACCAAAGACAGTCTCCTTCTGGTGAGGACAGTCAGTTCTCTTTGTTAACAAGACATCTTCGTAAAAAGATTTTTTTTTTAAATCTGTCCATGGTATCATCATCATCATCAAGTGCCTTGCCAGCTGGCAAAGGTGTTCATGCATCTCCACACATTTTAGTCTTTGGTGTTCTGGATTAATTCCACTGTCTTAAGCCATCCATCATCATTTCTCTTGGTCTGCCTCTGCCTTTTCTACTAGTGATCTTTCCAGTTGTCACAATATTTTCCAGTGCTCCTTTTCTCATCACATGACCAAAGAACTTTGTATCCTTCTCATAGCTGTTGTATATAATGTTCTATTTTTGTTAGCCATTTCCAGGCAATCATTGTTAGTTACTCTGGCAGTCCAAGGTATTCGCAACATTCTTCTCAAGAACCACATCTCAGTTGCTTCCAAACTCTTCGTAATTTGTTTGATCACATTCCAAGATTCACTGGCATACAACAAAACAGGCTTTGTATAACATTTCAGTACTTGTTTTCCGATGTTTAAAAAGAGTTATTTATTGCATAAGATACTTTTCATCTTTTGAAATACTGCCTTTGCCTGGTTAATTCTTCCCTTAATTTGTCACACATCATCCATGTGATGTGAATGTCCCCAAATACTTGAATTTATACTTGGTTTAAGTACTTTCCCTTCTGTTGCTTGTCACATTTTTTAGTTATCTGCTTTTTTGATATAACCATTGTTTCTGTTTTCTTGACATTCAAGGAAGTCCCTTTTATGCACTCTCTAGTACCAAAATGTCTAACAGTTGTTGTAGGTCTTCTGCGATTTCAGCTAATAATACTGTATCATCCGCATAACGAAGATTATTTACATTATAATCTCCAACTAGTATTCTGGTTACGATAATGAAAACTTAAATTTTTCAGAAAGTGATTGCGACAGTGAATTTACACCAATGGCAGCTGAGTGGTCAGAGAATCTAGCAGTTCTGATGAGTATGGCACAGAGGACACATTTTATGTGCAAAGAATGTTATGGTCACCCACATGTGCATCCTAAGGACTGTTTCAAACAGTACTATACTATGGCTAAGCTGCACTGAAATCATTACAGCTGCAGTCTGTATATAACTACACAGTTAGTATTTTGTGTAAATAGGTGCATTTTTCTGCCATCATTTTCTTTCAAATTTTGCTAATCAACCCATAAAAACCTAGAGCTTCTGAGGGGAAAACTAATCCAGAAACTTGTCACAACTTTTGAATATATATATGTGTGTGTGTGTGTGTGTATATATATATATATATATATATATATATATATATATATATATATATATATATATATATATATATATATATATATATATATATATATATATATATATATATATATATATACATGTGTAGGAATTAAAAATATATAACATTCTCTTTTGCCTTTATTTTACACCACACCCTCTGTCATTTTTGTAAATCAATGTAAACCAAGTCTGTCAAATGGGCCTGAAAGAGTTAAGAGATTTGTCATAAAAGGCCAATAATTATGAGTTTGCGGTAATCAGATGCGCTGGACTTTGAGATGCACTTATTTCTGTCTGACTGTAAACAACAACAACAAAACAAAAAGTACCAAGTATCCTTTTAAGGGCGAATGCAGAAGTAGATGCTTCCACACTCAGGATTAGTTCTATATATAGTTCTTAGAAACTCTTCCTCGCATCAAATGACAAAGATAGATTTTACTGAATAATCATTTTCTAAAATTCTTTTGTGTTTTTTTTTTTTTTTTTGGCTTAATTTTTCTGCATTTAACTTCGTTAAGACATCTTCCATCTGTTGTTAAAGATAAATAAGTATTTAAACATATCAACTTGCTTCAGACTTTCCCCATTTGCTATCATGCTGCCTTTTAGATAGCTTTTTCTTTGTTTTTACAATAGCTTCTCTTTTTCCACTGATAAAACTGAGAATTTTGCTTTGACTTTCTGGTACAATGTCCATCCCATCTTATGGTGCAGTTCATTTTCGGTGATCAGTCACTAACAACACTAGACGAGACAGAGTTACGAATACCAGCATTAGAGAGAAAGTTGGAATTAGACCATGTCTAGATTATATTGACGAAGAATGAAATGGTTCAGCCATCTAGTGAGAATGCGACCAGACCAGACTGTATATAAGACTTTTTTACAGTAGAACATCTGAGGGGAAGGTGAGAGGAAGACCCAAAAAAGAGATGGATAAATGGTGTAGCTGAAACCAGCAAAAAGATGAACAAATTCATCACTCAAGCCACCTGAGAAGCGCAAGACAAATACAGAAAACCAAGATACTGGGGTACAACTGGTAACAGTGAGACGACAAAAGATAGAAGAAAGAAAGACAATATATAACTACCATCTTTCTACTAAACACTCAAGGTATTGAAAACTTAATTAAAAAAACAATAAAGCAGCTTACCTTGTTTTGATTTTGCACTTTTACTCAGGTTCCAGATGACAACACAGCCATTTGTTGCAGCAGATGCCAACATGTTTTCTGTTGGTTGTGTAAATTGTGCATATAATTTTTTTTTCAACACTTATGTACTCTGTTAATCTTTCATTTACATGACTGTCCCATCCGTTGATTTCTGTACAGTATATGTACTGCTTGATACATGCAATGAATGGGATAAGTGGAAACCTCTATGGCACCATTTGCTGTTAGCAATACTTTTAAATAAGATAGACTTAAAAGATACACACTTACTTTGGCAATTTGGGTTCCTAAAGCATGTGCAGTTCTGTGCTTTGAGGTTAGTCTACATGTTAACCCCTACATGTATACAAATTGTAAGCTTGTCGCTCGGTCGTCCAGGTATGCAGACTGCTCTAATTATGCTACTGCGACGACTTCTTATCTCACAGTACCATCTGCGAAATCACCAAGTCGTTTTGTCCCTATCCTAAAAGAACACCATCCGGTAATTCCGTGCAGCAGGGAAATCAGCCCTGAGCTTCATGAACTCAGGTGGGCCCACTCTCTGAAAACGTCTAGGAGCTCGTGGGCCGAAACGTTTGTCGACGAGGATAATTTCTACTGATGACTGGTAGATCCCTGCTGTACTTGCTCCCTGTGAGTTTATTCCTATTGTACGTGGCTAGCCCACAAGACTACCAGGAAAGACTGGTGACGCTCAGGAAAGACCTTGTGACACCTATGGAAAGACTGGCCCCCCGGTATCGCCGGGGGGATAAACTGACATCTGGAGACAGATGTCGACTGTGGACCGGGTTGATCACCCCTAACACAGTATAATACCTCCGATTTCGCAAACCAATAAAGAAATATGCCCCCAGGGCCCTTCAAAAGAGGGGGAGAATGAAGGGCCCAATCAAATTGATACTCTCGGTGATGACAATGCTAGCCCCCGGACTCAGATTCTTGCTCAAAGTCCGGGCTGGCTCTGTACATGTGGGAAGAGCTTCACGGGGTTGCATGGTTTGAGAACGCATGCCGGAAGGATGAAATGCGAGGGTGCTCCACGCAGTAAACGCCGTCGCAAAACTACTACTCCTGTGGTAGTTTCTGAGTCGTTAGGGAACGACGGGCAGGATGAAACCCACTCGCCCAGAGAGGCCCATGACGTCGACTGCGGAGGCGCAAATTTGATGATTCCCGAGGAAGTGCGTTCCAAAATCAGGTTTCCACCTGCGAGCGATAAGGTGGTGTGGTGCAAGCTAGAGAGTACATTGTGTGAGATACTTAATCATGATTTAAAAAAGAAGTCGTTAGGCGACAAGCTTACTAAGTTTGGTGATGTTATATATGAACACTGCTCCCGTCAGTACGGGACAGTGGAGAAGGCACAGCCAGGTGCCAAGCAGAATACTAGCAGAAGGCAGAGGGACATTCTGAAGTGTCGGGCAGACAAGAATTACATCAGAAAACGGTTCAAAGCCGCTACAGGTAGCGAACGGGAGGGGCTGCATGAAGTCTGGTTGCATTTAAAGAACAGACACAGTGCCCTCTGTCGGGCTGAGCGTTTCTGTACCAACAGACGAAGAACCAAAAGGAAGCGAGAGAAATTCTTTAGGGACCCGTATCAGTTTGCCCGGGGTCTATTCGAGCAACCGAAGTCTGGGACTCTGGTTGTCAGTAAGGAAGAGCTTGAGTTACATCTACGCAAGATGTACTCTGACAAAAAGAGGAGAGAGCCTCTCGATGACAATCCAGAGATCCTTAGCGGCCTCAAGCAGCCTGAGTTGCCGAAGGTACCATTTAAAATGATACCTCCCCTTTGGTCTGAGGTTGAGGAAGTTGTGAAAAAGGCCAGCGGCAAGTCTGCCCCAGGTCCGAACGGTGTTCCGTACGTTCTTTACAAGCGTTATCCGAAAATCCTACGAATGCTTCACGTCTTGTTGAGACAAGCGTGGAGCCATAAACACATATGTCCAGAGTGGCAAAAAGCGAATGGGGTCTACATTCCCAAAGAGCAGGATTCATCTCATTGTTGAATGTCGAGGGTAAGATATTCTTCTCGGTCATGGCTCGCCGGCTCACACAGTATCTGATGGCTAACAAGTACATCAATACGAGTGTTCAGAAGGGTGGTATTCCAGGCGTTCCTGGGTGCACTGAACACGCGACCATGATTTGGGAGTCTATTCAGAGAGCCAAGCATGAGGTAACCCAATTGCACGTAATATGGTTGGACCTAGCCAACGCCTACAGGGCAGTCCCCCATAGGCTACTGTGGCGAGCCCTTCGCATGTTTCACGTACCGGCACAGATTAACGAAATGATCGAGCAATATTTCTCTAAGTTCGCTTTGCGCTTCTCTACCTCGACGTTTACCACGAGATGGACTGAGCTACAAATTGGGATAGCTATGGGGTGTACAATCTTACCAATACTGTTTGTCATGGCCATGCAGATCATGTTGGACGGGGCGGCCAGCTACGGACAGGGCCTTCAAATAGGGGAACACTGAAGGCCTCCATTACGTGCCTTTATGGATGACACGACTATTATAACGGGTAGCAAGGAGTCTGCCCGCACGATCCTGGAAAGATTAGACGCGGTGGTCCAATGGAGCGGTATGCAGTTCAAACCGCAGAAGTCGAGGAGTCTGTCAATCCTTAAGGGTCGAGTGGCGGCAACCAGTTTTACGGTGGCAAGGAACAAGATCCCCGTGGTTCTGGAGGAACTGGTGAAGAGCCTCGGTCACATTTACGATTCGAAGTTATCTGATAGAGTGGAGGTCCGGCGAATACACGAGTCACTGGCTACAGGCCTGCTCGCGATCGAGCGTTGCAGGCTGGTTGGGAAGTTCAAGGTATGGTGTCTCCAATTCATGTTGATTCCAAAGCTCCTCTGGCCGCTGCTAGTCTACGAGGTAATGAGGTAATGATGACTGCAGTGGAGAAAATAGAGAGGAAAATCAACACAGCCTTAAGAAAGTGGATTGGTGCACCGCCTTGTCTGACCGACGTGGCTCTGTATTGTAAGCAGGCTAAGCTGGTACTCCCGTTCAAATCGATAACCGAAGAGTTAAAAGTTGGCGAAGTAAGACTCGCCGTGCTTTTGCTCAAGTCTTCAGACCCAAATGTCATCGCTGTCCAGCCCGCTCTCAAGACTGGTCAGAAGTGGAGAGTCCTTGATGCGATAGAATCTGCCCAGAATGCACTAAAATTGAGGGAGATAATGGGTTACACTCAAACCGACCGTCGAGGCCTAGGTCACGGGAAGGTCAATTGGTGGTCAAAAGCCTCAGCCAAAGAACGCCGAGACATGGTAATACAACAAGTGAGGGACAACGAAAACGAGGTTTGTTTCCAGAAAGCAGCCCAGAAGTCGCAGCAGGGCCATTGGGTCAGCCTGGAGAGCGCATTGCCAAGAGAACTCACATGAGGTGAGATCTGGCGAATGACCCCGTTGCGACTGAGCTTTATCGTTCGTTCGGCGTACGATGTTTTACCGTCCGGTGTTAACATGGTTAAGTGGTCTGCGACTAACTATCCGACTTGCCCGCTGGGCAAAGCAAAGCAGACGCTTGAGCACGTCCTGTCCGCGTGCAGGAAAGCCCTAGGCCAAGGCTGATATACCTGGCGACACAACAAGTCCCACCATCGCACCCATACGCTTCCTCAAGGCTGGGCAGATTCAAAAAGGTAAGATCAACCGAGGCGCATTCGCTCCATCTATGCTAGACTCTGCGAGGGACTGTTACTGGCGGTTGATCTGCCGGGCCATGAAAGGTACCCTGAGTTAATCCGGAAGACCGGCCTGCGACCTGACATAGTTCTCCACTCTGCGGAGAAACAGCAGCTCATCCTGACTGAGCTGACCGTCGCGTATGAATGAAAATCACATGTATAATATCGAGAAATACTGTGATTTAGCAGCTGGTCTGAGGAGAGACGAGGCGTACACAGTACGTGTTTTTGCCGTCGAAGTGGGAGCGAGAGGCCTCGTCTCCACTTCACTCTACAATGTGGTTAAAGAACTAAGTTTGGGCGGTAATGAGCGGAAACGGACACTTAAACGGCTGGGCGAGGTTGTCGAGGGGGCCTCAAGCTGGCTTTGGACACAACGGAACAACGCAGGGGACGGGCCTCGGTGAGCTGGTCCGGGTTGCCTAGTGGAAAAGGGTTTCTCTTCCCTTGAAAGTCCATCGTGTCCGAATTGTCTGCCAGTGTTCCTCTGCCACCTGCTAATAAAAGTCCAACATGTGTTCGGTATACCAATCGTAAGCTTGTCGCTCGGTCGTCCAGGTATGCAGACTGCTCTAATTATGCTGCCGCGACGACTTCTTATCTCACAGTACCATCTGCCAAATCACCAAGTCGTCTTGTCCCTATCCGAAAAGAACACCATCCGGTAATTCCGTGCAGCAGGGAAATCAGCCCTGAGCTTCATGAACTCAGGTGGGCCCACTCTCTGAAAACGTCTAGGAGCTCATGGGCCAAAACGTTTGTCGACGAGGGATAACTTCTTCTGATGACTGGTAGATCCCTGCTGTACTTGCTCTTCTGTGGAGTTTATTCCTAACCCTCAAGGTTCATAGTCCTCAAGTTTCTCTCTAAAAACACTTATTTTTACTGCACTGATGATTTGTTTATTTAAAATTCAGACTAGGAGTTTAGGGTTATTTTCTTCAAGGCAACATTTATGTGTTCTCAAGTTATAAAGAGGAAAATGCCCTTTACAGTAATGAAGTGATGCTTAAAAAAAGGGAAAAGGGGCAGAGAAAGTATGGTATCACAGTAGAAGCTATTAAAGCCAATATAAACACTTCAATTCCTGTCATTTACAGTCTATTTTCCCATCAATCAGCCCCCGAGTAACACCCAGTAACGTCCCCTTTGGCATGCCGCACATTTTCCAGAGACTGCCTGTATCCTGTATTCCTGCGGAATATCATTATATGATCTGTATCTGTTCAAGCTTTGAACTGGAACTCATAACCTTTTAACAGTGCTGTCTTTATGATAAAATCTATATTCTAATAGGACTGAAATTTGTAATACAAATAACATCTATATCTTGTTTTC